CTTATTTCTGGAATGAATTTAGTCGGAACTGCCAAGGTTCATTTGTGTTGATATCAGCCTACACCATGGCTGATATAGGATAAAGATATATATGGGAACTATATCTAAATTTGAACCGATTCTCACCAATTTTAATAGGGTTCGCCCTAGAGCCAAACAAATATTATTTGACTGACGGACTGCATAAATCGACTCAGGTGATTCTATGAAGATGCTCGAAAGTAACTATGGGTCTATCTCGCTCCCTTCTCCATGTTACAAACAAATGCACAAAGACACAATACCCTTTCCACTGTGTGGTGCAGGATATAAAACTCGGTTTGATATCTGGTCTTTTAATTTGAAATCTGACTTATATGACGAACAGCAAATTTTAAATATTTTCCCCTTTCTTTCCTGGAATATTAAGAACAACACTTGAATTGTGTTTATTTTATTACTTTTAACACGGCTCTGTTTTTTAATTTTTCCCGATTTAACTTTGGGGGAGATATTACAATTTGCTGTCACCACCATAAAACCAACATGAATCAGCACAACCAAACTAACTAATGGACTACCATCTCCCTCACTTTTTTAATCATTTAAATGTCCAATTAGAAATAAATGCTATTGTATCCCCATATTAGTTACCGCATTATTTGTAGTCTTTAAGCGGACACTATCATTTTTTATTATACAATAAAGAGGAGATGACATGGTGGTAGATTTTTTACGCACACATTTAAACTTACATATAATCATACCAGGTATGGGTGTTATGTTGCAGTGCTTCTTATATTAAATAAACTTGGCTGTGATTTCAGCCGAATCAGCATAAATCTGGACAAGGGTTTGCATAGCATACATTTTGAAATAAACGCAGAAATCATGGCATACAATTTGTTACAAAGCCATTGGAAACAAAATAATAGGATGAATATAAGACAAAAACAAACAGAGATAATTTTCAAAAATTTTAAAATTTTTTTGCAGAGATTTGACACCTATATTGACATTTGCTCTGTACCAGGCCCTACAAGAATCTAGTAGTAGATTTTCATTTTTCGATATCATAAAGGGAAAATCGATGATCGTAGTAAAAACGTCTAGATTCTTTCGGTTCTGAAAGTGATGAATTATTTCTTGGTATTTTGGTCAAGAGATTTTTTTCGATTCAGAAATTGTATTTCAATTAATACTGCTTTCAACTTCCAATCATCCAACATCCATCCATCCAAATCTTCTAAACTAGACAAGATCTAATGTTAAAGATTAACAAGACTCTGTGGTTTTGCCATGCCGATCTTCCCATTGTCCCCAATATCGTGATAATTCAAAATTGTTTCTTGCTCAAACAAATGTCGTTATTATCATGAATAGAACCTCTTGCTCCATACCACATAAATAAACGAATTGGTTTGACTTGAAATGAATTAGCATATCAACAACTATTCTATGAATTATGCATCCTCTTCAATTTGAAGTTCAATTATTTAAAATAGATACAGATAAGACGAGCAAGCTGGTTTGTATCATTTGATGAATTGTTTGTTGACATGTGTGTGTATAATAGGATCAGTTGATAAGGACAAGAGGAAATTTCAATCAAAAGAACCCAGAAAATTGTTTGTTTTTAAATCTGGTTAAACCTTATACAAGAGCATATACCATGTAAAATACCACAACGTGATCGGTGCATGAATTCGTTTAGTCGCTAGTCATTTTGGATATATCAATTAATAGTTTTAATCAAAACAAAACTTGAGCAGATATTGATTATAGTCCCATATAAGAAGTTTTCTGCAGGGATACTTTTGTAGTCTGCGAAACTGAATAGAGAAAAGAAGGAATTATTATGTATGTTTGTAATATATATGTTTGTAATCCCAATTTAAAATCCGGCTACCTTAGCGAGCTTTAGCAGATCTTTTGGAGTAATTAGGATTTCGCAAGGCATTGAAGAGGAACAACGTATTGTGCGTGCCTGTATCACAAGCTGGAGAGAAGTTTCGCACATCTTCATAATTTCGTGCCCAATACAAATTCAGAAGGCTAATCATTCCTGAACGTAATTGCGCTAAAATTAATCTAGTTTTTCTAGGCAGCCGATTTTCTTCAGCAGCAATGAATGGGGTGGACTCATAATTCTGCATATTTAGTAGGTCCTTCCCGACACACCTGGGGGTGGGAGTTTTATCCACCATATGATGGTTAGGATGACTACCATTGTAACACCCAAGCAGGTACTGCAACGGAAGCATATGGTTGTGCTTACGAGAAGGGTCTTCTCCTCTTGGTGTCATGATGAGGTATACTGTTGCAGTTCTGAGGACAGCATTCTGGTAGATATGGATGTTCTTCCACTGCGTAGCACTTAAACATGCTGTCGAATGAGACCTTAGGATTTTGGGCTTGTTTGCAAGTTATTAAAAGAACCTCGACCTGCAAATTCAGATGTGTTCTCATCCCTGCAAACCATGTGGCCTTAGTCAACAGTGGTGGGTATTTTCATACGCGTGTCATGTGGACCTGCGCCACAAGCTGTGTAGATGTTCTGAACATCGCTGTCAATCCGGACCAAATAGAAATTGAGTCGGCTGTACCATCCGGATCTTAACTGAGCTAAAACTACTAGGGTTTGTCGAGGCAGCTCTCACTCTTCATCTGCGATGGGAGGGGGATTGTCTCCTAGTACAGTTTTTACTCTATATCCTTCCATGACTTCAGAGACCGCGTTAAATTAAATACAATTCAGTCCCACTTGATAAGCCTGTTGATATTGAGGCTCTCTCTCTCTTATAATTCTCTGCCTCTTTCTCTCTAGATCATGAAGGTCTTTACTTACGTGCTTGGGCGGAAATTGCCTATCCGCCAGATGTTGACTCGGATGGCTCTGCTTGTAACACTCAAGCAGATATTGCATTGACAGCATTTTATTATGCTGTTCTCCAGGGGAAGTTTGTGGTGATCTTCCGGAAAGGTAAAGGTTAAACAGTTCGAGAGAGATTGGGTAATTCCCCGTTTATAGGGGGTTGGACTTCTCGTATCGAAATTCTATGTGCGACTGGCGTCCGAACATATAATTCATAATAAAACGTTTTAAACTTGGCCGGAGAATGGTTCTTTCTACATCCTCAAACAGTGTGGCATGGCTGACTGTATCAAACGCCTTTGATGGGAGCTACCAACTCTGTTGTGTGACACGGCTTGTTCTGGTTAAATCCTCGACTGATATTGTGGATGTGGCGTGCAATGATATTGTGGTACTATGCTGTTGACGGAATCCGTGTTGATGGTTGGCAACTGGATAACTTTTTCTAATGATGAGAAAGAGTAAAGCTTCATGTCTTTGATGCAAACAAAAGCGATTCGCCTTTGCTGGCATCCTTCCCTGGTTTCAGTAGCGGGAACCGCGACTGTTTACAGGCTTCGAGAACGATGAGGGTGGCTATCGATAGGATGAGAAGTTTAGTGAGATACTCGACCCCCGGCGTATCCAGCTGTTCCAACTTTATCATTGATATTCCGTTCGGGCCCAATGCTTTCGATGACTCAGCGTTTCGAATGACATTCGCAATACCACCTATCGTAAACTGTGGTGGTATTTCTCTGGCGGTAGTAAATCTGGCATCCTTCCCTGGTTTCAGTAGCGGGACCACCTTGCCCCTGTTTGCAGGCTTCGAGAAGGATGAGGATGGCTATCGAAAGGTGAGAAGTTTGGTGAGATACTCGACTCCCGGCGTATCCAGCTGTTCCAACATTATCATTGATATGCTTTCGATGCCTCTGCGTTTCGAATGACATTCACAACACCACCTATCGTAAACTGTGGTGGTATTTCCCTGGCGGTAGTAAATCTTATACGACATCGTACTCTTCGCTTCGCCCTATCACTGTCGGGTTGCTCGACAAATTGGCGATTAAAGAGGCCACCGTACCTCTTCGCATAAGTCGCTGATACGTCGTAAAACGTTGGTCCTAACATCTTTTTTTTCAGTGTTCGAAAGTGACTTAACCGTTACCCACTATTTACTCATATCGGATTCAATGTTGCAACACTTTAGTTGGTCTAGCCACTTTTTTCATCAGTTTGTTGACTCTGGGTTGAAACGTCGGAGCTTATCAACCTTATGTTATAGGTAATGGGGTATTAATTTTAGTTCCCAACTATCTTGGTTGTTTGGCGAACTGATCGAGGATATAATGCAATTCAATTTCATCCCATGTTTATTTTCCCAAACACATTTTTCTGCCCCCTGTGTGACAATTTATAATTAGCAATTTTGTAATTAGTAGAGTACATAGCAAAAATTAGGTTTTCCATAACCGGAAGACTAACTGGAGAATATCCATTATTGGAATGTATTCATTGTTTACATACTTTAATTGTATGGTTTATTACTACAACTAACAGTGTTGGTGCTCCACCACGAGCAATAATTTCAGAACTGAACATAAACACAAGGGAAGTGTCAAATTATACATAATTTTGTTTGGTTTAAAGCCCTCCCCGTTGTATACCTATTATTTATTTATTTGAAGTATGTGATTTTCATCGATTCATTAATAAGTTCTCAAAACTAACCTCAAATATGAAAGATGATGCTATTAAGGTCAATAGATTTGTCAATATGTAAAACAATCTTTACGTAGAGGTATAATTTAATATCAATACATTATTAACTTCATAATGAAATCATTTCAAACCTGTAACTACTATTTAACTGGTCTGGCAATGCCAAGGTTTGCACATAAACACAAACCTACCCCAGCCCAAAACAAAAGATAACAATACAATTTAACAACCAGTACCCCCACCAATTATCACACAATTGTAAACACAGGCCTACCCCCAGCGAAGTTCACGTCACCACCAACCAACAAAAACGAAGAAGTTAGGGCCCAACACTGCCTTCTTTCTGTCAATAAACACACAATTTTAAACCTACATACAGACAAACAACATTTGTAACGGGATATGTAGTATAAAATTACATACATATTTACAGAAAACTTACCGGTTCTTCCGAAGTAGAACGTTCACGGGGACGACGAGAACTTCCCGATTCAGATGAATGATATTCCCGAGACGGACGGCGTCGTCCACGACTCTGATCGTCAGACATATTTCACCTCTTTTCGTTTGTTCCTGGTTAAGATTCCCGAGAAATTCGTTCACCGCCGGACACTACCAATAAGAAAAAATCAAGACAAAATAAAATGTGTATGTACACAGCTTTTTGTTTTTAGCTGCTGTGTCAAAGGAGAAAAAAAACATGCCGGCGTTTAGAACGAAGCCATATTCTTTCGCTCAACAATTTCACTCAAAATTTGATGTAAACACAATAAATGTTTTGTTTAGTAGTTTTGTTTACGGTCATAACTTCGTTATCACTGTTTTTTCTTTACCTTATTTGTATTATAAATAGAACTTCACGCGACGAAACCAACCGCAATCTACCTGATTTTGGCAAAAGACGCGCTAAATACAATTACTTAAGAACCCGAGGGGTTTTTCAAGTGTTGTTAAATGTCGAGTATTCGATATTCACATGGGAATGATAGCACATGCGTATTAGGGTGAATATAATTGTTAAATAAGAATAAGTTTAGGGTTTTGAATACTAGCGAGAGGAATTATCATATGTTTTCACTGGTCCCGTTCCCGTACTTTTTCGTGGTAAAATCAGCAACAGAGTAAACCTTCATAAATTTTAGTTATATGCTCTCACAGAAAGAACTTATTGTTGATGAAAATACATAACAAAGTTGAAACATACGTGCGTTTGCTTATTTTGCTATGTTCCAGAATTGCAAAAATGTTAAGCTGCCCTCAGACACACCAACAGTTGGTCCAACTTGTCACTTTTAAGTTGTATGAAAAAGTTGGTCGGTCTCCTCGCACGTACCAACTTTTCATACAACTGTTGTACCAACTTTTCATTTACAAAGTATTTTTGAAGCGTCAACATGAACTCGGATGCTCTTGCGCTACTTGGAATTGATATAATTTTAGAGGAAGAATAAGAAAGACAACGCTCAGCGCTCAGCTTATGTATGTGCTGCTTCACCAAAGTCAAGACATAAATGAAGAAAACACTGAAGTTGGTACAACTTGCCCTCGCACGCACCAACAGTTGGCCCAACTTACGAAATTATCAAAAATTTTTGATATTTCCAACCAACTTCAACCAACTTTCGAAAAAGTTGTACAACTAGCCCTCAGACGCACCAATAATTGTACCAAATTGTCACAAGTTGGGCCAACTGTTGGTATGTCTGAGGGCAGCTTTAAAGCTTTTACTACGATAACCGAGTTTTTTTTATAATATCGAAGTAAATTGGAAAACTTCAATAAGGAAATTGCAAACGACCTAAAGTCGATAATACATAAAACACTTCTTTGACTGGCTTAAGCTGCTATTATCGTTATATATGTGCTGTCACTTTTATTCATGCGTATTTCAGTGTGTTTGTCAAAATTGCCCTTTCACATAAGACTCATAATTCTTGCTGTCACACACCTGCATATGTTTTTGTTTCCTTTGGTTCTGTTGGTATTTTATTGTATTTTTGTAAAAAAATTATATTACTTTATGGACCGTTCTTATAACTTTTCTTTATAGTCCACTTTTGTTATCCCTTAAGGTGGGAATACATAAAACGCTTTTTTGACTGACTTAAGTTAGCGGCTGGCTTCTTCATTTTATCTATCGAAAAGGAGGTTAAACCCATAACACAATTTCTGAAGATAGAACAAAGCATGGTACAATGATATCAAGGTAGGACTATGATACCATATGATTTTAATTTTTTATTTTCTTGGCTTAATATGTCATATTTATTTGTTTATGTATGTGTTTTCTTTTCAATAACAAAAAAATTGTTCAGAAAATATTCAAATTCGGGTGTTTTCAAAATGTTTATTTCAACGTATGCATCGACAAAATATAGAGTTTTTGTAGCGAAATAATCCTTTAGAGATATATAGTACATGATTTCGAAAAAAAGTGTTGACCTTTCATTCAGTTATCGGGGTTTTCAATTATTTATTCAAAATAAATGCAACAAGTTGTTTGATTTTTTATTGTTTTGATAATTCTGACATTACAAGCCAAACAGGTAGACCTCTATACTTGCAATTTTTTCAAAGTTGACCTACTTTCTCTTAATTGTACCATGATATGATCTAAACAGTTTGATCTTTCAAATCCAGGGCAAAACTGGCGAATAGCTTTAATGTGCGTCCAGCATCCTAATTATTAACTTTGAAAATATTTTATTTCCCAAACAATAAATGCGTACATAAACTTGGCAGCGGTCGGGCGCACTTAGAAAAAAATTGTTATCAGCTGTATCATGGAAGAAACCCCAAAATTCCAGTAAAGTTTTGTAGGTTTTCACCAATATAACAATTTTTTTAAATGTTAAATAAACCAAACCAATTCTTACATGTTTTAAAAGTTCATTTGACACAATAAGACTCCTGTACAGAGTTGCATTTTCCTTTTTTTCCTGGAAGTTAAGCACCTTTTCTTATTGAGCCATGTTTAAACGGGAAAAAGCTCTAACGTAAACAAGTCCTTATAGTACGTTAAATTGTCATATCCATTACTTTTACTTCAAATAAATCCTCTCAAAGTAGGTTAACCCTACAAAAAGTTCTAACGTAAACATGGCATTACCTCCTTTAACGCATCAACTATATTCTCGACCACACGTTACGTATTTTACTAATTGCACATTACCCTCGAAGATATACAGACATTTCGATTAGATTACTTTTTTTGTCCCGCATCACTAATATAAACAAAAATATCTATTAACAGCTTAGTTTTGCAAATCGCAATTTAAAAATGGATTTGGAAACAATAGAGCGTTTCCAAAATGATTTGGACGATTTGAATGCATTTCAAACATTCCTAAATATGGATCAAATTATACGACGAATTCATTGCAATAAAGAATTGGCGAAATTTTGTGCTCCGATTCGTACAAAACCACGGAGGAGAAAACGTCGCTTTAATCCTTTAATTGATTTGCGTGAAAAAGAATTCCAATACAGTTATCGTTTCAGTAAGGATAGTATGAAACGTTTAATTGATATGTTAAGAGATGATTTGGAAGTTGAGCAGCAGAATAATGCCGTCGAGGTGGATAAGGCGCATCAAAAGTGTCAGGTGCCGGTGGAGAAGCAGATAATGGCAGCTGTTCGTTATTGGGGAAGGACGGAGGTAAAGGAATAGAGAAAAAAGCTGTTTATAATATGACATTAGTTCACAGATGGAGAACTTAAGGTGATCTTTTCAAAGGACCTTCAGTTGGGAGAACGCAAGTAAAAACTTCTATCTGTGAAAGACCATTAAACGATCTACATGATTATATGTTTTCGTACTAGGGATATTACCTCTCACATCTTTTGGACGTCTCTAATAAGACGCTAGCTTATTTTCGATAACATATAAAAGGTGTTGTATCTGTAGGGCTTGTCCAGAAAGGACAAAAATAAAACAAGTAAAAAAGCCGGCCGAACTTTGAATACCCTTGGAACGAATTTGGCAATTTTCAAAATATAAAGTCCGTAAAAAATTCTGTTAAAATCTTAAAAATACCGAATGTGTCCGTTATATTAGGGTCTGTACGACGACGTGGACCTGCATAGGTAACTTTTGTCATAAGCCATTACAATATTCAAATGCGAAACTTGAACAAAATTGGTGAATAATGTAGCTAAAATGATGAAAATATCGAATATCGGGAGGTACCGTTATATGGGGGCTATATGAAGACGTGGACATGCAGAAAATTTTCTGTCGTAGGCTGTAGTATCAATTATGAATTTCAAATGCCAAATTTGAAACATTTCCGTTGAATAATGTCGCTTAAATCGCCAAAATATCGAAAATAGTGAGGTACCATTTTATGAGTGCTATACCAAAACGTGGTCTATTTTCAATACCAAAAGTCCTGCAGACATAATAAACATTTGAGTACAATTTTATCAACCCACTTCATTTCGTTCGGAACGTAGAGTGATTTCCACGGACATAGCTAAATCGACATTGAATTTTATGCTGGTCAAGAATATATATACTTTTGTATATTTCGAGGCGTTACAAACGGAATGACAAACTTAATTTGCCCTCCATACCATGGTGGAGAGTACAAAAAGACTAGTTAAATATTCTCCATTTATAGAATAACTTTTTTAAGGGTCTACTTTTATAGAAAGGAATTTAGCCACCATATTCACTTCAATCTATACATACATACATACTCAACGTTCTTTAATGGATGTTTATACACGATCTACAAAATATCCTTAATATACAAATGAGCTGTAAGCTCGTATCTGTAGGTTAATTATAATATACTTAAAAATTCTCTTGTAAAATATTTCCCATCTACAGTAAATCTGCCTTACTATGGGTGTACTAAATTGATTCGTTTTGTTGTCGACATTATTTGATTTTTTGGCATTACTTTGGTTTCGATATATGCTAAAGTAATTTTTTCTATTTCGGTTTTTACAGCATCCCGAAATAACAGCACAAATGCATGGAGTTTCCCTAAAAACTCTAATGAAAATAAGCAAGCGTGTTGCCGAAGCTTTGTCGTACAATGCCTCGAGATATATACGAATGCCATGTTTGCTGGCCGAAAAGGAAAAAGTCGCAAAAGGATTCTACGATATAGCACATATGCCTCAGGTGATTGGTGCTGTAAATCACACCCAAATGAAATGTAAACGCAACAAAGCTGCTGCAGCGCAAAAACATTCCGAACAGAACACTATGGAACATATTTTACACATACAGATCGTGACAGATGCCAGTTTAAAAATACGAGATTTAGATTGTCATTTGGCCAAAGCATTTGATAGCAGGAGTCCTGCAGATATTTTTGCACAGAGTAGAATTAAAGAACGTTTCGAACAAAATGAATTTCGTGGTCGTCTTCTGTTGGGCGACTCGGGCTTGAAGTGTTCTTCATATTTATATACGCCGGTTCTCTATGGTCTTACATTGGCCGAACAAGCCTTTAATAGTTCGTTGCGTTTAACCTATGAACCGGCAAGGAAATGTTTAAAATTATTGCAACAACGTTTTGGTATTTTAAATGATGAATTCCAGGGTTCACTGGCAACGGCCAGACATATTGTGGTAGCTTTGGTTTTATTGCATAACATGGCATTGGAATGGAAAGATGCAGCGATAGGTTGGTATTTTATTTAATATTATTTGCAATTTTATTTATTTGTTGTTTGACATTTTAGATACAACAAATTTGAAAGAGTTTGATGATCACCACTACGAGACTCAGATAAACACTGAAGAGCGTAGCCGAGCAGAATTTATTAAGAATCATTTTCAGAAATAATAATTTTTAATTAGTATTGAATAAGTTCATTAATTTATATTAAAACGAGAAAGTATTCATAAAAATTTATACATTTAACAAATTTTTTAATGTATATGAAAGAACACAATCATTTTCTTCAGTGTTTTTTTTAACGTTTTTGGTTTATATTCAATTACAAATACATCGGGAGTTGAGCTGGAATATAAGAGACATTTTTAAATTTGGAGAAATACATTGCCGGTGTGGTGATACTAACCGATTTGTAAGCTTTCCCATAAATCTTGGAATAGGGTGGACCTATATTAATAAATTTTGGTAGGTAGCGTTTCTACATAATAAACTTAACATGCCAGGATTTGGCGAAATAAAATAGAAAACATGGTCGAAACCTAGATGGGGCTATACCAAAAAGCGAACCGATAAGACCAATTTTCTGCACCAATGATTGCGGATTTAAAGATTTTTCCGCTTTCGGGGAGGATCCGACGCGTCCTCAGGCTGCGGATAGTTGAAAGTCCAGTAGCTTCGAATTGATTAAGCAGTCGCGGACAGTCTGTGGGGAGAGTCTCGGAATAAATAACAGAGTGCCTATGACCCTTAGACTGACAAGGCGGATCCCCTAGCACTGGGTTGTTATGCGAACACGTGCCCATCAGTGTTACAACAAGTTAAACAGCAGCTAAGTTCGGCCGGGTCGAACTCTATACCCTCTATCACTTGGAAGAAACTTGAAAATGTTGAAGAAACTTGAAAATGTTCAAAAAAATTCCGTCAGAAAATACCGCCCAAATGAAAACCATTATATGGGGGCTATACAATGACCAGGACCACGTCTTTGTAATTTGTGTTATATGCTGTAGTAACTGTTCCGAACTTTATGTACGAAATTTTAAACAATTCCGTTGAATAATATCACAAAAATCATGGAAATACCGAATATCTGGGGGTACCGTTATATGGGCGCTATACTAAAACGTGGAACTATTTAGATAATTCTCTTCTAGGTAATAAAGTACTCACTAGGAACTCCTTGTGAGGATTTTCAGACAATTCCGTTGAACAATTTGGCTAAATATATATGGATATATGGGGGCTATACGATATCGTGGAGGGTATAAAAAAATATGATCTTAAGATCGGATTCGATCAGTGTTTCAGGATCTCTGCTACAAATAGTAGGATGACGCGGACGGGAAGTCTGACAGGCAGCAATGCTCTGACACAGGACCTAATAAACGAGAGTGTGGGCAGGCAGAAAACAATGCGACAAGTTGTTTTGTTTAGTGGTCAAATTTAATCTAAACAAGTAAGCAATGGCTATAGTCGTGCGGAGCCGACCATGCGACACCCTACGACACTACAATATGTTGGAAGGAATAAGGGTTATGTCCAAATTCATTTTGGTTTTGAAATAATATCAAAGGGGCCTGCCCAGATGTTACCTTATTTACGCACTCAGCCGTTTTGCTATGTATTCGAAAAAAAATGCACAAAAGTCGAGGTCCATTTTACAGCTAAATATAATGCAATGGTCATCCAATACGCTCGACTTCTTCCCTGTCCCTAACTCTCTCTGCTTGTAGAGCGATTGAAAAATCTAGAAAATGTATTTTTTCCTTTTGAACCCCTGAATTTAAATCTCCATAACAGTAGGCTTTAATTCTGACCCTAAAGCTACCCCATGCAAAATTTCGTAAGGGTCGGACGATAATAGCGACCTGTACATTATACCTTCATGTGTAGTGTGGCAGGGTGTAGACTTTAAAAAATATACAATTCAAAATTGTAAGTCAAATTGAAAAAATCGCATGCGATAAAAAATATGACGAAAATTGAAAAAAAAAAACTTAACAAAAAATATCCACTTTTTTATTGGCATATTTTTACGCGATTTTCTTAGATTTTATTTTTTCTGGCAAGACACCATTCCGAATTGATGGGAATTGTGAAAACCAGTTCAGCGGTTCTTGACTTATCAGCGGTCAACATCCTCTTCTTTGATATATGAGATTGTATATACTTTGCTATATATTTCTCGCTTGTATTGAGAATCAATGTAACGGCCAGAAATGACATTTTCGTCAGGATAAAAAATATTCGCGGTTTAGTGGAAAATGTCGTATTGTTTTAAAGTTATGATCTATTTTACCCGCTGAATATGGTCCGATGGCCATCTATACTTTTGCCGAGTCCTAAACTCTAACTCCATGCACGCGCCGATTGGTCTAAATTGTGGTCTGTAGAGCAACAGAAGAATCAAGAATTGTTTCTGTTTTTGGTCGAAGTTCCAAATGGATACTACACCCTAAGATAGAAAATTGTCTGTGCAAGTCCATGTCTTCGTATAGCCCCCATATAACGGTATCTCCCGATATTCGGTATTTTGATGATTTTAGCGACATTATTCACTGGAATTGTTTTTTCTTTTTCCCGGAAGCAATTTAAAATTTGGTATTTGAAGTTCAAAATGGATACTACACCCTAAGACAGAAAATTGTCTGTGCAGGTCCACGTCTTCGTATAGCCCCCATATAACGGTACCTCCCGATATTCGGTATTTTGATGATTTTAGCGACATTATTCACTGGAATTGTTTTAAATTTGGTATTTGAAGTTCAAAATAGATACTACAGTCTAAAATAGAAAATTGTCTGTGCAAGTCCATGTCTTCGTATAGCCCCCACATAACGGTACCTCCCGATATTCGGTATTTTGATGATTTTAACGACATTATTCACGTGAATTGTTTCAAATTTGGTACTTGAAGTTCAAAATGGATACTACACCCTAAGACAGAAAATTGTCTGTGCAGGTCCACGTCCTCGTATATCCCCCATATAACGGTACCTCCCTATATTCGGTATTTTGATGATTTTAGCGACATTATTCACCAGATTCGTATTTGAAGTTCGTTATGGGAACTACAGTCTGTGACAGAAAATTGTCTGTGCGGGTCCAGGTCTTCGTATAGGCCCCATATATCAGTACCTCCCTATATTCGGATTTTTTAAGGATTTTATTTTTTTTAAATTTCCAAATTCGTTGCAAATGGTGGAGGGTGTTAAAAGTTCGGCTCGGACGAACTTACTGCTTTTTAACTTGTTGAAATTCCACATGGAACTGGAGATATAGCAACAGAAACGGAGGTACCTCCCGAAAATTTAGATTTTATTTAGATGCTCATATCTATTGATCGATTGCAGATACAGTCTCCAAATTTGGAATGCGTAACGGAAATTGGAACAAAAATAAATTTGCCAAATTATATCGAAATCGGTTCAGATTTGGATATAGCTCCAATATATATCTTCAGCCGATTTCATATATTTGAATCACCAAACACGCTCTCTAATTTCAATATGGATATTGGATTCCAATGAAATTTGGAATGTGTGACGGGATTTTGATCAGAAAATAAAATTTTCAAATTACATTGACATCGGTTCAGATTTGGATATAGCTCCCATATATATTTTCGGCCGATTTCACATTTTTGATGCACGAAACACGATACGTATGTCCGATTCCAATGAAATTAGGCATGAATGACTAAATTTGGTACAAAAATAAATTTGACAAATTATATTCGAATCGGCTGAGATTTGGGTATAGCTCCCATATATATTTTCGGCCAATTTTACATATTTAATGCACCCAACGCGATAAGTGCGTGCGATTCCAATGAAATTCGGACAGAGAGACGAAAAAAATTGCCAAAATTATATTTAAATCGGTTGAGGTTTGGGTATAGCTCCCATATATATTTCGACCGAATTTCATATATGTTATGCACCAAACACGATATATATGAACGATTTGAATGAAATTCAGAATGTGTGGCGGAATTTGGTTACAATAAAAATTTGATAAATTAATTGGAAATCGCTTCTTTTCCAGCGCACGATGGGCAACAAAATCGCCGGATACTAATCCGTTGGACTATTGTGTCTGGAGTATTTTGGAAAGTAAAGTTGGCACTGACAAATACCAAAGTGTCGATCACCTCAAGCAAGCGTTTCGCCGGGAATGGGCAAAAAAGGTGACCAATTCGAACAAATCTAAACTTATTCTAAAATTTGATGCTATTTCCGAAATGTTTTGCTTTCATTCAATGAAATTTAAAAAAATATATATAAAAATTATGGCGTTTGACTTTGTTGCGGTGTAGTAAAATTTGATGAGGAATATTTTTTTCGTTGACGTCTTTCTTCTAAAATGACGCTATGTTAGAGATTTTTCCATAAGTACGGTTTTAAACCTAAAATATGTGTTTAATCAATCACCTCAAATCAACGAATTTCAAAGAATCTTAATCCGAAATTGTCTAAAAGTATGGGAATGTCCCGTCTATTTTATTTTGCGATGTACACTTTCTAAACGCCACCACACATGTCTTCTATATTTATACCTTCCACCATACTATGCAGGGTATATTAATTTTGTCATTCCGTTTGTAACTCCTCGAAATACTCATGTCAGACCCAACAAAGTATATATTCTTGATCAGCGTAAAATTCTAAGACGATTTAGCCATGTCCGTCTGTCTGTCTGTTTGTTGTAATCACGCTATCTTTCGAACAAATTGAGATAGAAGACTAAAATTTTGCACACATGCCAGTAGGCAGGTTAAGTTCGTAAATGGGCCATGTAGGTCCAAGTTATCATATAGCCCCCATATGACGGTACCTCCCGATATTCGGTATTTTGATGATTTTGGCGACATTATTCACCGGAATTGTTTCAAATTTGGCATTTGAAGTTCGTAATGGATACTACAGCCTAAGACAGAAAATAATCTGTGTAGGTCCACGTCTTCGTATAGCCCTCATATACCATACCCCCAGATATTCGGTATTTTGATGATTTTAGCGACATTATTAACCGGAATCGTTTCAAGTTTGGCATTTGAAGTTCGTAATAGATACTGCAGCATAAAACAGAAAATGGACCATGTAGCTCCACGTCTTCGTATAGCCCCCATATACCATACCCCCAGATATTCGGTATTTTGATGATTTTAGCGACATTATTTACCGGGATTGTTTCAAATTTCGCATGTGAAGTTCGTAATGGATACTTCAGC